AGACAAACACAGAAAAACGCACACAAACATCCATGCCCTGAGTGGGATTCGAACCCACGATCCCGGCTTCCGAGCGAGCGAAGACAGTGCATGCCTTAGACCCCTCGGCTACCGTGACCGGCTCAGATTAGTAATAGATCACAGGAATTCGAAAGAAACAAGTGTAACTCTCTTGGTGACCGCACTAGGAACAAACAGCGTAATCTGTTTTGCATTTCACTGAATCAAGCATTTACTGACATGCAAAAGAAAATAATTGATAATATCAAGTGTTTATGTGATACAATTATTGGAACAATATATTTATGTTAGCAACAGATGAAAATTAGGACTAATGAAATAAGAAAAATACCAAAGAAGTCGTTCGGAAAACATATGCTTATAAAATTTTGCTTCATGTTATGAATATACTTGATCTCTTTGTAGCGAAACCGTGTGCCACTGTTACGACGAGGTGATGTCGTAAGCCCCACGTCGTCTGGTCTCGCTTTTACAGATAATGTCTTACATTCCTCTGATCTCAAGATACTTAATTGCAACACATGGAGTGTTTGTACAATATTGGCTTTAATTGAAACCTTAACAGAAGACTCTGTTGCAGCGGATGTGGTTCGCTTAAGCAGTCCAATTACAGCTGCACAAATACGGGAGAGACGGTCTGCTTTTCCCGGCAGAGCAATGATGATCCATGGATATTTCGGTAATGGGGGTCAGCCATACCACAATCCCGTGACACTTCAGCACGGTTACGACAGACACAATGGCAGATCCTATGATCCTCAGCGAGCCTTGACTGCTTTCGCTGCGGGAGACACGGTATCAGCAGGATCATCTTATTCTGGTGGCGGAGGAAGCCTTCACTGCAGGGACTGTAACGGCGCAGGCAAACCCGGCAACGGCAAAGGAAATACGCACTCTAACGGCAACGGACATCCCACAAACGGTAACGGGTTTCACCAACATACAGTGCCTAGTCATACACCCGCCACTAACGACAAACCCGTTAATGTAAATGGACAGCAGAAACCCAAAGGGGAAGAAGAAGTTGGCTACCCAAATGCTAACGGGAATGGAGCTGACAATGGAGGTTACCCGGTGGATCAGCCGGCCGCTGAAGAGACTGTTACACCTGCAGCGCCGACTCGCCCAGCCGCTACTGAGGCTCCCAAGAAAGGTAACAATCATGCATACCTGTTTCCAATTGCAACTAGAATGTCATGAAGGATATCAAAACGAAGTTGCAAGTAACAAAATTTAAGTTGTCATATTTCACTAGAAGTTTTACGTATTTTTTTTATGTACACGCTGAGGAAATCAGGAATTAATTTACACGGCCAATGATTGAACCCATTATTTTGGAACGCCCACATCAAAATTTACCCAAAACTGAACAAGACTACTGCAAATATTGTGCTTTGGAACCGCTGGCGTACCAGACGATCTGTATCACAGTAGATCAAAGTGAATAAACTTTATTACAGGAGGACCAATTTAGAGTTCATACCCCAGTCAGGGTGGCAAGACAAATGATAACAGAACACATTTCCGCTGAATTAAACTTTCAGTGAGTACAGATTATTAGTATTACTACTACAAAGCCAAAATATAATGTATACTGTTGTGAGTTTAGTTTTTAATTTCTGGGGTGGGAGAGTGTCGATGAAGCGCCTCGTGCTGCTCTTTGTCACCAGTTGCTCGGTACCTCAACATGCCTCAGAAATTGCACCCCGGAAGCAACTTACTACACTTAGGCATTGACAAATAAGGATATTCTTTGTAAGATTTGAGGTTTTTACGGCAGTGACTATGAAGAAAGCAGTCTTCTGGGATGTGGCACCGTGTATATGCGGTGTTAACCGACGTTTCGGTGGAGGAACGTATCTCCTCCATCTTCAGGGTAGAATGAAAAAATAAGAAATCCGCAAGCGAAGATACCGTGAGAACCTACAGTGATGTATGGTTGTTTATATGTAACCATTTCGTACCAAATTACGAAGAGAATATGCCGACGTAAGAGATATGAAATAACATTAGAATGAAGATATCGAACAATAAAGGTCTTCACAATTTGTAACTTCACCCAATATATGACTTAAATATGAAAACTGAGGTAGGCGAGAAATATCTGACGTGACAAAATTAAATATAAAGATGGGTCTTAGAACGATAGGTTATGAGGTACAAAATTGAAGACTAAGAAAAGTTTAAATGATGGAATTATTGTACTAATTCCTGAAAGCAGTCTTAACTTGGAGCAGTGTTTAGAACCGGAGTGTGTCTGTGTGTCCAGGGCCTGCAGCCGAAGAATCCGAGGAGGAAGAGGAGGACGAGGAGGGGGAACCACCATTCTTCAGCCGCGGTAAGGGAAGAGGAAAGGGCCGAGGACCATCCTACAATACCTACTTTCCAATAGTGTTCGGTGCGTATCCTGGTTTCGGGGTTGGAAGAGGTAGTAGCCGACAAGACGAAAATGCTTACAACCCTGGAGTGGCCACTGCCATCGCAAACAGCTTCAGCACTGGACGCGGTGCCGTGGCCACAAGTCATGCCACTGCATACGGGGGCCCTCACTTCATACCTCCGAGTTACAGGAGGAATGGGTAAGTTGCAGTTCTCACCTAACCCGGTCCCAGTTCGTAACGCGTGGAATCTCAGGGTAAAGTGTCTCCAGGTACAACGTGGAAAGGAAGAAATTTTGAATCTTACGTATTATGAAGGAACATAGAAAGCTGTTTATGAACACAATATCCGAGTTCAGAAGCGTAATATAATCGAATCCATGTTCATGTTAGTAATTCCAATATATTATAACATTATCTTGACTTAATAACTTTTCATATGCGAAATGTTTTAATTATAATCACAAGCTATACAATGCGATGATGAAAAAGTCATTAAAGATGCACAAAACTGTATAGGAGAAACATGTCGAGTAAATAAAATAAGATGTTTTATTTGACCGTTTAATTTTATTACTGGAGATAATACAACGGTATGGAAAATGCATTATCTAATTTTATGTGTACTGTTTAACAATTTTAATTATTTTATATGCATAACAATCATTTGCAAATATTCAACGTGAGAGATATGACATCGATTCTGTAACAATACCACTTACAGAGCCTAATTCTTATATTGCATGTAAATACTTTTAGATATACCAGTAGTAATCAGATCTGTAGACCGGCTTTTCTTCACTTCCCCAACACATATCCCGAGACACTCCCTTGCCTCAGTCACACAGAATGACAGCTATGGCTTGTCTCTTACGGAAGCAGAAACAGTTTACTCACTGAACAATACGGAGATGCCCTATATGTTTAGGCCTCTTTATATAGAAGCTTGTGATAATACTGACATAATTATTTCTAAATATTTGAACTGATGTTTTACAGTTTTTCGATCTGCTTAAGTATGATGCCATTTGGTTAAAAGAAGCCTCCTTCATCCATTCCATTTCACCATTCACAGATCTTACAGTCTTACACCGACTAGGCAGTTGAGGATGTGTCGTTAAATAAATTAAGAATTAATCACTCGATGGTTCAGTTACACCTTACAGTTTCCTGTCTATCTATGGCTCTACAGTCCGTNAATACTGACATAATTATTTCTAAATATTTGAACTGATGTTTTACAGCTTTTTCGATTTGCTTAAGTATGATGCCATTTGGTTAAAAGAAGCCTCCTACTTGATCCATTCCATTTCACCATTCACAGATCTTACAGTCTTACACCTACTAGGCAGTTGAGGAAGTGTCGTTAAATAAATTAAGAATTAATCACTCGATGGTTCAGTTACATCTTACAGTTTCCTCTCTATTTATCTATGGCTCTACAGTCCGTGTTAAACCTTGTCCTATTCTTCAGTTTCTTAATCCTATACACAGTCGGTAGGACTCCTTGGACGGGGATCAGCCCGTCGGAAGGCCGCTACGTACACACAGAACAACATAAACACAAAATAAATACACAAAGACATCCATGCTTTGGGCGAGATTCGAACTCGCGATCCCAGCGTTCGAGCGAGCGAAGGGAGTTCTTGCGTTAGACCGCGTGGGCGCTGTGATCGACGCNAGTTTCTTAATCCTATACACAGTCGGTAGGACTCCTTGGACGGGGATCAGCCCGTCGGAAGGCCGCTACGTACACACAGAACAACATAAACACGATATAAATACACACAGACATCCATGCTTTGGGCGAGATTCGAAATCGCGATCCCAGCGTTTGTGCGAGCGAAGGTAGTTCTTGCGTTAGACCGCGTGGGCGCTGTGATCGACGTGTACAGTGTCCTGCCTTCGGAAAACATGACTGAGGAAGGGCTGAAACCTGTCGCTGGGTTATTTTATTATGCTGCCCGTTCCTGTATGTAGAATCAGTGCTAACCGATGAAACGAAAATGAGTTGGAAAGGAACAGCAGTTGCCCAGGCAAGATATTTTCCCAGCATTTATCAACGGACATTAAAGAAATCACGAAGAAACTCAATAAAGATAGCCGACGTCCTGAACTAGATTCGAAAGCAGCACAACCCGAATACAAGCGTCGAGAGTTACCGCTGTACTACTCTGCTCTCTGAGACCTGTTAGGACAGGCTGCTAGGTATGTGGGAGGTATTGCTGTATTGAGGTCCTTTGCCTCCTGAATTAAGTACCGTAAAAGGACAGCATGCTGGTCACGGTAGCCAAGCGGTCTAAAGGTTCGGCCACACAGTACGCTACGTACGCTGTGTACACTCTATGACACAGCTAACATAGGAAACACAGCGTACGTAGTGTACGGAAATCTGTGTGGCCAGTCACATTGGCAATAAAGGGAGACATTTTTCTGTTCGTATGGCGAACATAGCGTACGTAGCGTGCGTCGCGTACGTAGCGCTCTGTGTGGCCGAAACTTAGGGCATGTACTGTCTTCGCTCGCTTGGAAACCGGGATCGTGGGTTCGAATCCCACTCAGGACATGGATGTTTAGTTTGTGTGCGTGCGTTTTGCTGTGTTTATGTACAGGTAGAGGCCTTGCGACGAGCTGGTCACCCGCCCAAGGAGTCCTACCGAATGTGTCAGATCTAGAAAAACCGAAGTGAACGGAGAAGTTCAGAGAGATAGGCCTAGGCCCACTGTGGCTGTAGCGCCAAGGGGGAAAAAAAGGACAGCATGAGATTTCCAGGAATGTATCAACCTTCTATTTCTTCCCCGGAGACACTCGTATACAGTTGACGGCCTTCGGAACTGAGACCGTGTCATGTCATGTATTAACAAAACAGGCTGCACAGTGACAGTATACTAGCAGGTACTGTGTGCTTCGTTTCTGTCACACTAACCTGTACGTCTTTGCTGTAAGTAAAATGTGAGAGAAATACAATTTTAAGGAACTCACACAGATTTAGTCGCCGAGCACTTAATGTGGAATTTGAGGTGCACGGCGTGGTAATGGAACAGTTTCCTCCTCTGCCAAGTATCACTGCACCCTCCTCGGAGTGGGTGATAAATTTGATCAGTCATCATATTTGTTTACATTTCCTACCCTAACCAACTGCTTGGCTGGACTAGATAAAAGAATATTACTTTAAAATTTTCATCTATCTTTATGCTCAGACTGCGAAGTGGATGGCAGGGGTTCGATTCCCAGCAGAGGGAGGAATTTTGTCCTCTCTAGCGACACTGGGTTCCATAAAACCATCTATTCAGTGGGTAGAGAGGTTCTTCCCCTTATGGTAAAGCGGCCTCCAGTCGCATCTCCACCTAGTGCTGAGGTCAAAAATCGTGGAGCTATACTTGCACTCTCCCATACGTCTTCTTGGTGTGGTGCTTAATTAACTAAGCACAAGGACAACTTCACTTGAAGCTCTACCATGGCTTGTTATTAATGAGGGAAGTTTTATAAATGCAGTATACATTCACGCTTAAAGGGTTAATTGAAACATACGTAAATATGCTTTGCGTTACAGATCGAGAGGACGTCCTCACTGACTGGAGATGGAAGTGATATGATACGGTTTAAGTCGGATACAGCTACACGCAAGAAGAGTAATCGAAATTTACTGTGGTAGAGTTCAGAAGACTGCAGAAGAAATGGAAGATAAAGGCGATTTGTAATTCTCTTTTGGAGAACTTATTTCTTTAATTTTTACTTGCCAGACTTAAAAGTAAGTCAGTAGACTACATAACATTCCGAAAGGAAGTTCCTTTGAGTCATCAAATGTGATGACATAATGTTTTTCTGCCATTTAAGACAAAGCGAAGAACTCATTATTATCTAAAAATAGACAAAATGACGTAAATATTACTGATCTAAATATATAAGATTAAACAGTACAATATTTGCAACGTGGAATTAAATTTACTGTTAATGTTTCTTCTCTCTCTCTCTTGCACTGTCTCTCTCTTAGTATGAAAATATATGATTCAGTAGAAGTGCGAATGTTAAATCTTAAGAAGTGGTTAAAATAAAGTGTATCAGTCTAGTTAAATACATATTTGTGCCTTCCAAAATAATATAGTCCTAAATGGATTACATAACCCACACTCGAATTTAACCAAACAAAGACACCAAAATCCAATAAAGCATACAACTGGAAACTTGTTTTATAATGTGGAATGGAGTATGTTTACTGCAAAATGAAAAATATTTCGCTAGCAAGTGACATTGTACCTTTAACTAAGTAACTCCATGGTGATAAGTCCTTCTTGTGAAGCCGCCAGATGTGCAGGTACTCAAGAGCTTCCTAACACTGGTCTCTATCCTCAGCCAGTTCAATCAATTTCATATCACCGCATCCTATCTCTCTAAGATCCATTATAATATTATTCACCCACCTGTGTCTTCCTCTTTCTAGTGGTCTCTTTTCCCGTCAAAATCATATATCTTAACCCCCATTCGTGCTATGTACCCTGCCAATCTCATCCTCTTCCACTTGATCCTACTACTTATACTTGATNTCTCTAAGATCCATTATAATATTATTCACCCACCTGTGTCTTCCTCCTTCTAGTGGTCTCTTTTCTTCTCACTTTCCCGTCAAAATCATATATCTTAACCCCCATTCGTGCTATGTACCCTGCCAATCTCATCCTCTTCCACTTGATCCTACTACTTATACTTGATGAAGAGTACAAGTTATGAAGCTCTTCATTATGCAGTTTTGTCCAACCATATTACATTTCCTTCCTCTTCGAACCAAATATTTTCCTCAGCACATTTTTCCTCATATACCAGCAGTCTAGGTTCTTCCTTTAATCTCAGAGACCAAGTTTCACACCCATGTAGAGCCACAGGTAAAATTATAGTCTTGTACATTCTGATTTTTACGTTTTTAGACAGCAGAGGAGAGAACAAAAATTCTGGACTGAATGGTAATAACTAATAAGCATTACCTGAAGTCAGTCTGGTCTTAATTTTCTCCTGAACCGAATTTGGATTTAATACTGTCGTTCCAACATATCTGAACTGTGCCATATTTTCAAAGAATCTGTTAGCTATCTTTATGTCATGATTGGTCCCTAAATTCTCGTGACGTGACAGTGAAACGTAAGTCGTTTTCTCTGCGTTTACTCCTAGACTAACCTCCCTACTAACGCCAATTAAAGTTTCTGTGTCACTGTACTTTTAGGAATGAAATTGAGATCCTTCTTCTGTCCCTTAGCCTTCACTTCATTCATTCATTCATTCATCAATGGCTTTAGAGCCCTTTGTTCCGCCTTGGCCGCTTTTTCAGTTTGTTAATCCTATACACAGTCGGTTGGACTCCTTGAACGGGGGATCAGCCCGTCGCAACGCCGCTATCTACTTACTGGACATCACAAACACAGAATAAACATTTCTCGAGTGGATCCGAACCCACGACCCCAGTGTTTGAGCGGGTGAAAATAGTTCATGTCTTAGAAGGCGCAGTGATCAGTTTGCCTTCACTTAGTTACACTTGGAACAGAGGTAACCGCTAATGAGCAACAGAAACGGAAGAGTGGAGTCAGCCGGAAAGTGCAGTGTGGGAAAGGGGAACTAATTCATAGAGTACTGGTGAAAACTAAAACGCAATGAAACTTCACAAATTCGGACAAATTGGGAGCGATTTTCCCCCCCAAATTAATGAAAGTTCCAGTTATAGAAGTGCTACAGAAAACATGTTCAGGGAAGTTATAAAATGGATGTCAGGTGTCTTTATGGGCAATACAACTTTATTTCGAAATTTAGATCGCATATCGTAAAATAAATTTAACATAAATGTATAAATTTTGACAGCAGTCTATAAACATTTAGGTAGCTATATACTTAGCATTGGGGGCACGCGGTAGCGTAGTTGGTTGAGGCACTATGCCACAAGCCGGAAGGTCGCGGGTTCCAGTCCCGATGAGGTGGATTTTTCAATTGACCTAATCCTTCCAGCCGCACTATGGCCCTGGGGTCGACTCAGTCTCTAACAGAAATGAGTACCAGGAACCTTCCTGGAGGTAAGGGGCGGCCGGCGCGTAGGGCTGACATCCTTACCGCCATCTACGTGAACCGACTGTCTACAAAATATGGGAACCTTAACAGCGTCTCACAACCCTATGGGCCTCCACGGCCTGTTACAGGGATACCTTTACTTTTACATGCTTAGCAATATTGAGACCGTGTTTAAGAAAGTAACTTATCTTGGTTTGTGTTCCTCTTTTGTACTGTTCTTTCACTACACATTGCTGACTGCGGCAAGTGATTATCTGCGTAGATCGTAATGGGCAAAAAGAAAAGAAGGGTTGTCCGCATTATCGCGAGTTCCGAAATATGAGGTTTAACTGTATTAAGAATATTTTCCATAAATATCTTCCGTTTGTCTACCGTTTACGCTTTAGAGAGTTTCCGTATATTTTACTTGTATTTATACCGATGTTTGTGTCATATTCACGGGATCAAAAGAAATTTCTTCTATTGGCAGTATTCCATTTAGTACAGGGTCCGTTGTAGACAGTTTTCACTGTATAGAGATCTATGATAAATATCCCACGATACTGCTCGATTATACAAAAGCACAGCATTTGGGTTAGAGGAAATAATGAAAATAATTTATAAAGTAAAATTACATTTCTTGGAATCTATACGTTAAACATATAATTATAGTCGTTAACGAAGTAAACATATAATCTTCTTACGAAAAATTATTCAAGCAACATTTTTTAAAATGTAGTAAGTTAAAATTCATTATAGTTTAGTATTAAATTGTAAAATAAATATAATCATTCTTAAAGTTTCTCGATTAGACATGGAAAAATCCGACAGATAAACCACTTCAGTTGATAACCACTGAGTGCAGGAAAGCAGACGCACTCGTTACTGCATAGCGAGGGACGTTACCGAGCACAGTCTCACGGCGAAAGTAAAAACTGTGTAACTCATCTTTCTGTCACACTACCCGCTGTAGACGGAAGTCGCCCGGAAAAATAATTGAAAAAAAAACACTCTTGCTGCAAGCACACAATTTCGGATTATAAGAACTCATAGTTAACCGATGACAAATGATTTTGGATCCCACATTACGTAAGCAGAAGTCAAGACATTACGTTACAGTGACGTCATACTGATTACTGTTTCTAGTCCGCCTTTCAGTGCTTTACTAGGAATGATTGGTTTCATAGTCACCATAATTCAAAGTATTCAGTACAGCTGGAGTTTCATCTGGATGCATCATAAGCTCAACTTCGTCTGGATTTCATGAGCATAGTAAGAAAAATACCTCCGTTTCTTTCCGCCAGCGGCAGTTAAGTATTTAAATTCTTAGTGGACTACTGTAGATTTCGGTGCAGTTAGTACTTTATGTACGTATATGCGATTAGGATAAGTTTGAATAAAGTAACAAAAACTAGTGGTCCTTTTATTTTTATATATATTGGAAATTTACAAAATTTTCAAATCGTGAAAATTCAAGACAACAGCCCCATCGTACATGGTTTCACTTTACGAGTGACTTACCTCACAAATAAATTGCGTGTTCTATAAAATCGAAACGTTTGCCACCACCATCAAATCATATCTCACCAGTTCAATCGTACGTATTTCATCAAAAATACACTTCAGTATTATAATCGCATATACAACTGTATCCCAAAAAGTCTTATAAAATAAAAGTGACAAGCAAAAATATTATATGCATTCCCTCTACGTTATATGTGTGCTAAATGTTCGGCCCAATTTATCCTTGAATCACCGCATCTGCAGATGTATCAGCTGAAGATTTGCAATAAAGAGTTTTCTCTAGTTGTCTGTTACTTCACCTCTCCTAAGCTCATATATTTTTCTCAGAACTTCTATCTCGGATTATCCTTATCTGCCTTCTTCTCCGATTGAAATAAACCAAGTCGAGCTCCCATACAAAGCAACAGATAACTATAGTTTTGCGCAATTTATTCTGGCATATTCCGTACAGCACGGAAGATAAACCATTCTGAACTGATAACAGACAGAGGAAGCACTCCTCAAATTTAATCTGCTGTTAGCTTCATCTGACCGCCTCTGAGGTCTAGGGGTAGTTCCTGGCTACAGATACAGAGGTACCGGTTTCGATTTTCGGTGCTACCAGATTTTCTGAGAAGTAGTGGGTCTGGAACGGGGTCCACTCAGTCTCGTGAGTATAATTCAGGAGCTATTTCAAGGAAATAGCGGCTCCGGTCTAGAAAACCAAAATTAACGGCCGGGGGATTCGTTGCGCTGACCACGCGACACCCTCTATCCGCTAAATTTGACATTAACTTCGCAGACAAGCGGCGGTCGCTCGGTCGGTATAGCTCGCTTGTGGACTACAGACCACGGAGTTAGTTTTTATTCTTTTGTTTTGTTAGCGTCATCTTGAACCTGACTTGGATTTGTAACTTGTGAAGGACAGTAACAAGAAGAGCAATCTTCATAATGAACTTTGGTGAACATAGGCAACATCCGTGCATCTCAGTGGTTTCCCTCGATATCCTACACGTATATAATTGCTGGTTTTCTTGTGGAATAATTACTAAATGACTGCCAGGCATATGAATTAACTAAGCCACCGGAAATTCCCGAACTCTGTCAACTAACTACTGTGACAGAAGATGGTCATATCGGATACATCTGTGACGCAAGTTTCGGACGCGGTTAGTTACTTGCTTAATGTTCACAGAGTCAATTTCATTCAAGCTTCAGTTTTTTTTTGGCAAATATTACGTAACGTAGCCGACAGTACAAATGAACTATCCTGCTATATAAACACGAATGTTTTATGGTGCTAATAGCAACTTGAAAGCATTCTCATATTTTAGCGTCCTGTTACACTGATTCATGTCCATGGTTTCTGCTGACCGTCTTACACTTTTTTACCTTATTCTTCACTTCCACACTACATGTTTCAGCACTAATGTGCCATCTTCAGGTGTCTTTATGCACGTTAAATTATTGTACTGCTTGCCATAATGTCTTCATTCTAAAATGACTAAAATCTGTATTCGTCATATAGGACGATGAATTCTAAATAATAAAACTTTTCAGGATTCTTCCTACGTCGCACTCAAACACGCGAATTACGCAAATACTCTTTTATGTGAGCATTCTTCCTACATATATTTGTGTATCGTGAAGATGGCACATTAGTGCTGAAACATGTAGTGTGGAAGTGAAGAATAAGGTGAAAAGGTGTATACACTATAAGACGGTCAGCATAAACCATGGACTTGAAAGCATTCATTACTTCTTATGGTATTCTAAAGCTCCTGTGTCAACTGGAGAAGTTATTTAGGATTAGGATTTAAATACGACGATGCAAGAACAATTGCGATGTAGCTGCCGCGAACCATTTCAAACCATAACCACAAAACACACCGGAGCAGGCAGCGTTGTGGACTTGTGATCGGCAGACATCCGGTCTGATCTAGTTCGGGCTCCCGACTGTTCTGAAGATTTGCCTTTCTGTCCCCAACGTCTGCAGTCTAATAACAAGGTAATAACTTCAGAGAAGATAAGATCATCTTCAAGTTCTTCACCCAGTAACCATTCATGATTACTTATTTACTTACTCATGGAGCTGAGGGCTTCTGGAGGAGCCGCCAATTCTGCAGCTACTGAAGAATTTCCCAGTATTTTATGGAACCCGAAAGTTCATCACCGTGTTCACAAGAGCCCTCCACTGGTCCCTATCCTGAGCCAGATCTATCCAATCAATACCATTCCATCCTATCTCTCTAAGATCCATTCTAATATTGTCCACCCACCTACGCCTTGGTCTTCCTTGTGGTCTCTTTCTTTCTTGCTTTCTCACCAATATCTTATACGCATTCCTCGTCTCCCCAATTAGTGCTACATGACCTGCCCACCTCATCCTCCTTGACTTGATCATTCTAATTATACTTGGAGAAGAGTACAAGTTATGAAGCTCCTCATTATGCAGTTTTCTCCAACCTCCTGCCACTTCATCACTCTTCGGTCCAAAAATTCTCCTCAACACCCTGTTCTCAAACACCCTCAGTCTATGTTCCTCCCTTAATGCCAGAGACCAAGTTTCACACCCACACAGAACTACAGGTAAAATTATAGTTTTGTATATTCTAATTTTTATATTTTTGGACAGCAGACGAGGAGACAAAAGGTTCTGAAGTTAATGGGAGCAAGCATTACCCGAGTTCAATCGCCTCTTAATTTCCTCCTGAATCAGGTTTCGATCTGTTATCGTTGTTCCCAAATATCTGAACTGTGCCACATTTTCAAAACTTAACCATTCATGATTATGTTCCCATATTATTCGACACAGTTAAAACTAACCAAATAACTCCAAAGAGCAGAGCCCTTCTTAATAAGCTAACAGCTACTTAACTATTTAATAAGTTCCTCGCATTTTATGGAATTAAAAGGTGTACTACCTTGTACACAAGAACCACTTACAAGTCCCCGTACTGAGGCAGATGAATTCAGTCCAATATTTCCCACCCCGTTTCATCGAAATCCATTTTAATACCAGTCTCTATTCTGCGACTTGGTTTTCCTGGTAGTTCCTTTCTTTCGGGTATTCCTACCAAAACTTTTCACTCTTCGCTAAATATTGCAAGGATGATCAGAGGAAGGCGGATGAAATAGATAACCATATAAGCAAGCATAGAAGAGAAGAGAAATGTATACATGCAGTTCAGAGAGTTTCCTTAAACACGAGAATAAGTAACAAGTAATAAAATTAAGAGAGCTTGTCGCAGTCCGTAATGAAAGTAAAACATGCTCCCGATTTGCCACAACTGTTTCCTCGGTGACTCGATTTGAAAAAGAGGTTAATTAGATTATCCCTTTTTTCTCTTCCCCTTCGCTTCCACTTTGGAGCATTAGGGCTGATTTCTCAATTTCATTGATCACTTTTTACAGACGGCAGGACTCCTTGGACGGGTGATCAGCTCGTTGCAAGGCCTGAACCCAAACACAGGGCACCACAGACACAGAATAAACGCAAACACACATACATGATTTCAATATAATACCTACTCTACATTCAGCTCAAACCTACTCTTGCCCATTATCTCAAAAACAGTCTATTGTACAGAATATTAATATATAATGTAAGCTGCAGATCTTATTAACACACGCAACTAATATTTTAGACTTTTTTTTTGCATGATGAATATTTAATAGAACAATAAAAAGGAAATAATTATTTTGCAGTTGGATTTTCTTTTTGAAATGTTAAATTATTACCTACAATAAAGAAATCACATAACAGCTCAAAGAATGTCTCTTAAAAATACGTAAAATTATCCCTGTAACATGCCGAGAAGGAGCATAGGATTGTGAGAGGTTGAGGCTCCCATATTTTCTAGACACTTGGCTTACAGAATGCAGCAGTTTTATCAGCCCTACGCGCCGGCCGCCCTTTATTCTCCAAGAAGATTCCTTGTACTCATTTCTGTTAGAGGCTGAGTCGACCACAGGACCATAGTGCAGCTGGAAGAATTAGGTAAATTGAAAAAATCCACCTCATCGGGACTCGAACTCGCGACTTTCCGTGTTATAGCATAGTGCCACAATCAACTACGCTACCGCGTACCCCCTCTTGAAAATAAGGGAGCCATAAGTCAAAATACTTCAAGTTTGTTACTTGTTGTATTTCTTTTGTGGGTTATATTACGACGCTGTCGGTAGATACCCGTGGATTCGAATCGAGTTCACTTCGAACACGAGTTAAGGGCTTTACTGCTAGGGTAAAACGTCCGGCTGACTGCTGTAGTTCCGGAAGGAAAGTGTTCTGCGACAAATTCCTTCATGGCGTCCAGGGCAATTATGTAGGTTTTAGTAAGAAATGCCACTGCAGGAGTGGATATCCGCACTCTCTCAGTTTATTGACAGAATCTTCACAGCGTTAATTGAAAAAAAAAATGTCACTTTATTCTGAAGACTAATATGACGCAGAAAACTTGATGTGTAAACGAACAGCTATACTTATGAAGGGGAAGGTTAATTTTAAAAATGATTCCCGATCTTCCCCTCACCTCTAGCTCTTGTAGTTGTTCACAACAAAGTGTCCCGAATAACAGACAGAACTTTTCTTGTATTTCCAATCAGAAGAAGACTATTAGCATTCGTGACGTCATGGCTTATTTGCACAATTCATCACGAAGCTTCACATACATACCAAACTCTGCCTAATCCGCACACCTGTAATTGGTTCCTTCTTTAACGACGCTGTTCCACTGTACAGATCATACTCAACACTCAATTGCATGAACGGGAAATGGAATGGAAAGGGAATGGAATTTCTGTGACAGAAGCAGTAGAGGCCTGAGGGGGGTTGAGAGATATAAACAGCATAAAAAGGAAAAGACAAATGAAAGAGAAAGGAACATCAACATCCGTCGCAAACTATTTAGCTCTTTCAATAATCGGGAAGTCCCGTGCTGAATTCTCGAACGACAGATCAACTCTTGTGACAAGCTGAGATACAATATTACATTAAAATAAGCTACGAAATCGTCCAATTGGACGATATGTATAGTCTGCGGAATTAAGACTATCTGTCTGTCTGTCTATCCGTCTATCCATCCATCCGTCCTTCCGTCCATCCATCCATCCATCCATCCATGGCTCTACAGCCCTTGTGGTCCTTGGCCGATTTTTTAGTTTCTTAATCTATCCACAGTCGGTAGTACTCCTTGGACGGGGGATCAACCCGTCGCAAAATCGCTACCTATATGCGGAACAATATAAACACAGAATAAACACATACAGATATCTATGACTCGAGTGGGGGAATTAAGACTGCACCGCGAAATGAACCAACTTTAATGAAATTTAAAGAAAAACGCAAAATAACTTTCAAAAGGCGTATCTTCCTTTAGAGTTCCAGAAAGTAGACGAGGTGATAGCGACTTCTGAACAGAACAGAAGGAATTTCCTTAACATATTTTACTCTTACTTTTATGAGGAGAAATAATTTATTTCTCTTTTTAACTACTGAATCTTTTAAATTATTTACACAGTTATATTTGGAACAGGCAAGAAAGTTTTACAAATTTTGGGTGGAACCTCTTGGGGTAAAATTAATTTGATGACCAAAAAGAATAGGCAAAAATGACATTAAGACTGATGTTACTGAAGAAGAAGTGTGCGCATGATAGGATGAGACTGGTTCAGGCTCCTGTCTAATATCTGCCAATGAAATTAAAATCTTCGGAGCGGTTGTGTACGTTTTGGCTACCTCGTACATTTCGGTTTTATATGATGATTTGGTAAGTTAAACTATATTTAAAAAGGAAATAAATAGATTAGTATATTTTGGCGATTAGGCAGTATGATTGAACATGTGTCGAAGTAACGAAGTGAAGACTCTGGAAGCTACCTGAGGGGAAGTCCCTAAATCATTAAGGCATGACACCGGTGAACCATCTCAAGAGGACTATAAAACCGTAGAAAGATACGCTGTGATCCCAGTTATTTTCCTCAGTCTCCAGTCGTTACAACTTCCAGAACCATGAAGAGTCTTTTGGTATTGGCCTTGTTCATTGCAGTGCCCTTTGTGGTGGCTATGCCGTATGTCCCTGCAGAAGAGGTTCAAGGTAAGAGAAATGTCTGTTTATGGAAGTCGATAAAATGTTTTTGATGAAAATCAATATAGAAATACATTTATTAGTATGTACATATTTATAAGTATTTATTTTAGAACAAATTTTACCTAATTTATTAAGTAAGTTGCGTATATTGCCCACCGATTCCTAAGTTTCTTCTAGTAGCCTGAATAAAAACATAAGGGAATTCAATGTTGTAAACCCTGTTCACGGATAAGAGCTAAAAATTGATGAAGTTTAAGTTCGAGGGCTGTAAGAAAGACGAATGCATACAAAAAAAATTCCACAAATGTTATAAATATTTTTAGAATTTTCAAAATTAGGCTACAATTCGGAAACTGATAATAATTAATAACTTAGGAAATTAATCTTTACCTGACGACTACACGTAGTTTCATATATGGAGCAAAATATACAGGCTATATTCATCCAATATATTAATATACGCACAAGCACTCCATATGCGATTTAGTCTATGCCTTCAAATTTTGTTTCCACTTCTTTTTTCCTTTCCTCCTCGCTGTTTTTTCTTCCCTTCCCCGTCTTCTTTCCTTTTCTTATTTCTCTTACGTTACACATTCCTGGTTGCGTGACGAATATTAATGGGTTCTGGATTTTATTGGACACTCACAAGTCGTAACTACAAATAATTGTAACACCTAAAGATTACTGTAACTATAGCAAAAATAAGGTCTTCAACGTCTATTTACTAGCTGTTGCTTGGTAATTAATCTTATTTGGCTAACACTCCACAAGGGAACACTCAACTACTGAACTGCCTTCTGAATTATTTTACGAATGAATCCCTGACGGAATTGAATTCACGAATGAACTCACTATTTAACTGCCAGAGAACTGAATAGAGATCACCCCCTCCAAGGGTCCGCTGCTGTTCTTCATGAATGCGTTGTCTCGGAAACCGTATGTTAATTCCGAAGCTAAAAATTATATTTGTTCGGACAAACGTAAGCAGACGACAGTGATGCCCACAAAACTATGTGCGAGGTACCTAAGTTTTTAAAGGGGGTGTTATGGATACAAGTAAAAATGCTTAATCAAAAATAGGGCCACGAATCTCACTAAAAGAACAATTTACGCGTAAATTGTGTAAGTAAATAATATAAATTTCGTTGTATTTTCCATGCCAAATTTTTGAGCACATAACCTACTGAGAAAACGTCTACGTGCATGTATAATTTCTTGCCTAAGAAAACAATCTTCTTCCAGAGCAAAACAACTCATAATTTACTTTAACAACAAATATACGAACTCTGTGATCTATACCAAAACACTCAATGTACTGTAATATTGATGATATTCCGTGAAGTTTTCGCTGTAGTTTTCTGGTCCTATACATTAATGCTCTAAAGTGTCTTTTTATGCTCCCAACTAATAACTAAAACAAGTACAGAATAACAAGCCTTCCCTGATATTGTTTGGTCCTATTCGTAAATACTACCAAATTTGATAAAAATGTAGTTACGGCGGAATACTAAGTGTCTTATTTATATATTATGTATGTATGTATGTATGCATGCATGTATGTACTATGTTGCATTGATACGTGTATATTTAATATGAACGGGTAAAAATTGTATTCCGAAAATAATTTAAGGTTCTTACGCCATATCTGAACTGATATACAAAGAGTTCTCTTAAATTCCTTCTCTATTTGAATTTCTGGTATTAACATCGTCGCATCCGCTTGGTTAGCCTCAAGAGATTTCTTCTAGCGTTTCCACAGCAATGCAGGACTAATTAGGATCCAGGCTGCGGAATCGCGAGAAGGGATCTTACTATACTCACTCGGATTCGCCATACAAAGAGTATACGAGAACAGGGAAAAATTAGTTACAACCTGTGGAAAACACTGAAGGTACAGTTCATAAAATTGCCGCAGCGGTTCTCAAGTTTTGGAGTCCGTGGAGCCCCTAGCAAGAACACTGCACACTGAAGGGCCTTTCGTCCCTCCAGACTTATACTATCTGCCTACGAACATAAGAGAGACCCAAATAAAATTATTTATTGAAAATACTGTGATGCTTGTATTATTTTTACGAAATTCTTAATGCCTTTACAATGTACTTTAGTACCGCAATCCTTTGATGAAAAAATATCTGAGATACTCTATGCAACTAGAATAGTTACCCTGCGCAATTTCGAGTCAAATATATTTCTTAGATATCATTATTCTAGATAAAAACTTTTAGTAAAATATTAAAAGTATTAATACACTATTTTCCCTTTTAACTTAAAATACGAAGACAAAAATAATTTCGCGGACTCCATTGCGGACCCCACTTTGTGAAACACTGGATTATCTGATGATATCTAAAAGGAATATTGTCAGGAAATCAAAGAAGGAACGTGATGTAATCCATGAAGGGGAAGAATATAAAAATGGTGGGAGAAAAGAAATGGAGCAGCAGTAAAAATGGAATAGTAGTAAAATATTAGTAGCAGACGACGCAGACTAAAGGAACAGAGAAAAAGAGGATTAAGCTGAAAAGACAAAGAGGAAAATAAAAAAATAAAAAAACTATGTGGCTTTAGTCCGCAGGCGAACTATACCGACCGAGTGACCGCCGCTTGTCGGCGAATTTAGTGCCAGCTTTAGCGGATATAAGGGGTCGCGTGGTTAGCGCAACGAATCCCCACTGGCGATAATCTTGGTTTTTATACCAGAGTCGCTACTTTTCCATTTAATTAACTCCTCAATTGTCCTCACGAGGTTGCGTGGACCCCGTTCCAGACCCACAACTTCTCAGAAAATCTGGTAGCGTCGGGACTCAGACCCGAGATCTCTGGGTCTGTAGCCAAGAGCTCTGATAACTAGACCACAGAGGCTGTGAAGAAAAGGAAACATGGGTCCTAATTAGCCGAACATGAAGCAGATGAAGAATGACAGAGTTTAAGGTATGACTGTTTACATACTGTTTTCAGATCTCGAACTGATTCCTGTAGACGTAATACGCATAAGACGCATGGCCTTCCCTGGACACGGCGGCGGGTACGGAGGAGGGTACGGCGGTGGATACCACGACCGATTCGGCTTAGGATACGGAGGGGGACACCGAGGCCACTATGGTGGAGGTGGCTTCAGCCAGAGCCACAGCCAAGCCTCTAGCTCCAGCTCCAGTTTCGGAGGAGGATTCGGTAGATCTGGCGCCTCCAGCCAATCTAGCGCAGGCTCCAGTTCCGGTGGCTTCGGCCGATGGTGAGCTTAGTTTCCATTTCAGGGCCCCTTAAACCGTATGACGTTGCTATCTGATAAAGAGAGTATGGAAAGTTCTGAAATACTAAGACCGAGTGATCAGATGGTATAGTTTGGTGTTTATATTCTTCTTACATTCATGAGAAGACCGATCCTCCACTCAGAGTTGTTCCATCCGACATATTTATTATCTTAGTATTCATCCTGGATCAAAGCGGACCAAAGCTCCTACCTAGTTCGCTTAAGACTGGCAGGAGGTAGGGCAAATAGTTGTTGCTTGCGACCTACTACATGCTGGTTTCGTGCACAGCTTATTCTTCAACACTGAACATTTTGGCGATATGTTCCTCCGAAACGTCGGTTGACTTTCAACAGACTTCACGGCGTTATATCCCCGAAGATAGAACTTTTAAAGTAGGGAATAAAAATGAAACGAATATAAAATATTGGCTGAGAAATGCCACTTATGTACACATGTACATAGATGAAGGGATTACAAAAAAACAAACTCCGTGGCCTGTAGTCCGCAAGCGAATTATACCGACCGAGCGACCGCCGTTTGTCGGCCAAGTTAGTGCCAACTTATGCTGATAGAGTGTGTCACGTGGTCAGCGCAACGAATCCCCACGGCCGTTAATCTTGGTTTTCTAGACGGGAGCCGCTATTTCCTTGAAACAGCTCCTCAGTTATCTTCACAAGGCTGAGTAGACCACGTTCCAGACCAATTATAGACCTAACTTGATCTCGGATAAACATTTCGGCTGTGTATATCATATGAAGTCGAATACGACCTCTGAATTTGAATGGATATTGAATGACGCGAGAGTGGTATATTTGAAAATATTTCATATTTTTCCTAGAGGAATTGAGGAAAATAAAACAAGAACCAGAAATTATAACCATTCATCCGCCATATTGGGTACTTCAGCAGTCTTATGTGCGCCACATGCTTTAACATACATATACGTATAAATGCCTATGCACACAACCACACAAACGCAAACATTAGGACGGAGCTTACAACACTGGTAAACATGACTCAGAATGACAGGATTTTAGATCTATATTAGTTTCTGTCCCCCCTCCCTTGACACTACAGCCCCAGTGGGCCTAGGCCTACCTCCATGAACTTCTCCGTTCACTTCGGTTTTTCTAGATCTTACACATTCTGTAGGACTCCTTGGGCGGGTGATCAGCTCGTCGTAAGGCCTCTACCTGTATACAAACACAGAAAAACACACACACAAACTAAACATCTATGCCGTGAGTGGGATTCGAACCCACGATCCCGGTTTCCAAGCCAACTAAAGCAGTACATGCCTCAGACCTCTCGGCTACCGTGACCGGCTTAGTTTCTGTTTATTCGGTTATTTTATTGAATCAACTACAGGGGTCACGCTGCTCGGAATTACGTACAGTACGCTGACTATAGAGATCAATGGGGGGGGGGGCTGTGGGACGGACGGGTCTTGAACAGTTGAAGGCGTTGAGGTTCTGTTGCGGGGAGAAAGTTCAGGGTGGTCTGTCGTCAAATCGAGATTACACCCCTCGATATTTCGAATACGAGGATGTGTTAACTCCAGAATAATTTTACCGAAATTAAATCTATTCAGAACAATTCCATTCATGTTCTCTTCCACCAGAGATATTGACGTATTAGCGTAGGATAATTTGAATAACTCATTGCATTTCAAACACATTTATTGACTTAAGTGACACTCATTCAGCTTCGTCGGTTCTATATGTGATATATCTAGCGAGAATACACTTAAAGGGGAAAAACCGCACTTTTATCATTTAAGTCGTGGAAGGGCTGTCCAGAAAGGGCATTATACACGTAAAATCGAATGAATAAAGTAGATGATCATAAATGACGTTTGGTTAAAATTTCGAAGAAGTCGGCCATGGTCCATTTAAAAAACCATGAACCACCTCAGTTAATATGGCCGGGAACACCGCAGAGATTCGAACCTGAGAATATCGGTATGCAGTGTTACTGCTACACCGACATAATCGGTATAATTTTTGAGGTTTCCATGGCAGTGACTATGAAAAATGCTGTCTTCTGGGATGTGGTGCCGTGTAGATATTTTAACCGACGTTTCGGAGGAACGTATCGCCTCCATCATCAGGTTATAAGAAACAGACACCTACTCACGCTGGTTCATTGCTCGCGAATTTCTTATCAACTTATACAAAACACGAAATATTACTAATATGAAAAAATAAGAATTTTAGCATATTATCAAGGAAAGATCATGTATTAATGTAAGAGAATATGAAACAGGCTGGAACACTCTTTTAATAATAATAATAATAATAATAATAATAATACTTAATCTGCCTTCAGTTCATATTGGACCTGATGATGTCCCGAGAAGTCAGATTTACACATGTAAGTAGGCGGTAGCGTAGTGCTACAAGCCGAAAGGTGGCGGGTTCAAGTCCCGATGAGGTCATTGGATTTTTTCCATTGACCTAATCCTTCCAGCCGCACTAGGCCCTGGGGTTTACTCAGCCTCTAACAGAAATGTGCACCAGAAATTAATTAAATAATTTTCCTTGGGAGTAAAGCGCGGCCGGCGCGTAAGGCTGATAAGCTTACCCCCATCTTTGAGTCGATTATCTAGATAATGTGGGACTCTCAACGTCTCACAACCCTATGGGCCTTTACGGCCTGGTACAGGGATAGCTTTACTTTACTTACTTACTTTTAAGTAGAACTGAAAAAGGATGTTTTTTTTTAATTCTTATATTTGGGGGGGTGGAATCCAGTTGAGTCCACTCGGCACGGCGGCCACTGATGGGCCTATTGTATCCGCTCCGGGTGATTATGATGGACAATTTGGTAAGATTGGCAGGGGAAACCGAAGTAATCGGAGAAAACCTGCCCCAGCGTCAATTTGTCCACCATAAATCCCACTTGACCAGACCCGGGTATGAACCCGGGCCGCCGCAGTAGGAAGCCATCGACTAACCGCTTGAACCATGGCGTGGCCCTACAAAGGATGCTTAGTGGAAGACCTCTTTTCAGAAATCTGGATACTTTAAGTAGCTGTTGAGTTTCAACAAACCTTCTTCAAAACCGTTCATTAATTTCAAGTAACAATTATTCTTGTTCTTAAGCGCATTGGCGTTCCACCCAAAACTGATTCCTGGCCCTAAGTTAGAACTACAGTCATGTTGGTATTACTGATGGTAGAAGACTGGAAATTATAATTATGAGATGGGCTCTGATTGCAAGATGTTCTTACGAAGTTTTGCTGTAATTCATAGTAGATTGTGGCGTTATTAGGCGTGACACGCAGATATAATGTGACATGACGCCTGAAAGCCGGAATAGTGAAGTCAGAGAAGGAGTCTGTTTATAAGCAACGATTCAGTAAACACTAATTTTCTGTTATAACGGCGAGTTGAAACACTTTTACGCGGCAAAGAATACGCTTGGATAAATCAAGGCGTTATCTAGAAATTGACACATGTGTTCATGGTAACGACGATTAACAGAGGAATGAACTGTTGTACCTAGTGTTTTATTTCCAGTCCGCAAGAAGCCAGCTCAGGTCGAGATAGGGAATCCAGAAATAGAGTTCGATAGATTGCAAGAGAGTTCGAGAGAGTTCGATAGATTTCGATGAGTTCGATAGAGAGAGTGCCAGAGGATTCAGGATTGAAGATGTACTACTAAGAAGGCGTTGAATACATTTTCTGTCTTATAGTTAGAGCAATTCTCAGAGTGTTTTAATTAATTGTAGCTACGACACGTGAGTATCCAAAAATCGATTCACTAATTCAAACCCCGTATACAAGTCACTAATACACATGCCAACATCATAAACCTACACATATTTTTCCACATAAAACAACGAAAGTAGACAAATAATTATGACACATATAAACAATATAATAAAATCAAATAAGTCAGGACATTATGACTTAAATATACGTATATTGGTTCATAGCTGATTTCATAAAGGTTTTGTCTTCACTTCACTGTCATATTATCTCCTTTTAAGATGGCTGTGCCTTTATAAAAAGGTAAAAGGTACACTTGCCCCTGTGCTTAGCTAATTAAGTACTACGCCATGAATTCATATGAGGAATAAGTGTATAGATCCACATGACTAGCTTCATAGTATCGGAATATCTAAAAACAATTTTATCATATTTGTGAACGTCTTTCTGTTTCAGATTACAACATCATCGGAGCTAAAAGCGAGAATTAAATATCACCTTCAACAACAGCAAAATATATCGGCCAGAAATCGTCTTATTCCAGTAGGAAGCTTATGCACAAGAACGAAAAGAACAGACAGTTGGTACAACATAAATCATGCAAGCAGTATTCTCAGAAACTGTCAGTAAATCTATTTCATCTAAAAATTTTTATACTTTTGAAAATAAAACACTTCAAAATTAAGTATATCTATCTCACATTGTTACTCTTCCTGCCTAAAAATGTAACAAACCTCTCCCCAGAACAACTTTTCTACCATGGCTAAACAGACAAAATAATCCCCGAGAACCACATCTGAAGAACTAAATAGTCCTTTATTCCACGCATATAGCAGGAACAAAAAGGCAGGAAACAATAAATCAAGAGGCTAGAAATATAATTTACAAGATAGAATAAAATAAATAAAATTTCACACAACAAATAAAACATAATAACCCAACAAAATGCAAAAAAATATAAAATATTCATGAAGACAGAAGCAGAATATAAATAACATATCAGACAAAGACTAACTCAGTCGCTCATGGAGGTGAGCCCTTCTTGAGAAGCCATCAATTGTGCAGCTACTCAAGAGCATCCCATGGTTCATGGAACCCGAAGTACATTGCCGTGTTCACAAGAGCCCTTTCACTGGTCTCTATCCTGAACCATATCAACCCAATCCATACCGTCCCATAATATCTCCCTAAGATCCATTCTAATACTATCTATTCATCTACGTCTTGGTCTTCATAGTGGTCTCTTTCCATCTGGCTTTTCCACCAGTATCTTATATGCATTCCTCCTCTCCACATTCGTGCTACATGTCCTGACCACTTCATCCTCCTTGACTTGATAATTCTAATTATACTTGGAGAAGTGTACAAGTTATGAAGCTCCTACTGCCGGCTCCTGAACAAGAGGCGTGTAAGCGGGTCCCTGCAGTCGTGTACAGAGATGACTACTCAGCACTGAATATGGAAAAGGCAGTGGGGAGCCTTGTATTTGGGTGCTACCCGCTTCCAGTCTCGACTCGGACGTGGCTTTTCTTAGTCTCTACAGGCAAATCCTTACCTCAGAACCGACCACAACCGCTTCCGCCTGCACATTTCCTAATATATTATTCAAAACAATAATTTTATTGTAACAAGCCAAACATTGAACCAACTAAGTCCATGAAGATGTACATTCTCGAATAATTCCGCTAGTCAAGAAATTCCCCGTCTGAATATGTTCTAAAGGGCTAATACCTCGTTAAGAAAACACTGATCGTGAAGATCCTGTTTCTACTCTTACATCTAATTCTGCAAAGTCTATGTTAAAGGCTTTCTCCAATAATAATTTTGCATATATTCTTATATCTGCTGCCCGTGTTTTATGGCCAACATCCTTTTATTTCACGCTACATGAAACATAAGAAATTGATAAAACGTCACTAGATACACCACGGAACAGCCAGAAGTATTGTATAGAGATCTTATATTTTATTCGCAGACTGTTAAAGACTCTTTACGATATGCAGAAGTTACCGTATTAGCCCGAACACAAAGTCGTCTTCTTTTCCTCAATTGCTGCTTGTTAGAAAAGACGGGTCGCTGTATTAAGGTCCTTAAGAATAAATACAAAGAGAAATATTTTCAGGAGTTATAATCGATAATTCTGAAGATATTTTTTAAACTACCTAGATTTATATTTGAGGTATTAAATTTTTTGCTTATTTTTCCGTAACAGAACAGTTTTTAATTTTGTCTGCCTAAAATCCTTAGAACTAAACTACATATTCCTTGTAAAAGAATTACGATTTTCTCGTTGGAAAAATAAGGGGTCTCATTATATTCGTGTGTACACGGTATTTGGCATCTAATGAGACGCAGGAACCTGTCATTCCGATTAGCAACAATCAGGGCATGCGTAGAAAACTTATAGACATCTTGTCCAATCTTCCTGAACACATGATAAAGACAAGGCAGAAATATCCTCGAACACACGTTATTAAGCGGAAAACAACAAACCGACGGAATTCACTTTGACGTTAGTGGAATATCTTATTAAGAAACTGATACCACGAACCTGGTCGGTTGCCATTTACCTGGAACCCATGAATTTCACCTACCACTGTATGGCGCAGAGAACCTGTGACATGCTCTAAAATCAGCGGTCATGACGCTCCGTCACAGTCAAGGACTTTCTCACAAGGACACCACAAAGACTTCACATATCTTCGTAGTTTATTATCGACTGTATTAACTACAGAGGGAGGGGGGGGTTGCTGTAGTATAATTGGCTGAGGCACTATGCTACATGCCGGAAGGTTGCGGGTTCATATCCTTACGTCATTGGATTTTTCAATTGATCTAATCCTTCCAGCTGCACTAGGAATCTTCCTGGCGGGTTAAAGGGCGGCTAGCGCGTAAGGCTGACAACCTTACCGCCATCTGTTAGCCGATTGTCTAGAGAAAATGTGGTAGCCTCGACGTCTCACAACCCTATGGACCTCCAGAACCTGTTACAGGGATAGCTTCCCCTTTACCATTAACTACAGCGGTCGATCACAGTGGCCGCGCTCTTTATAAACGAATTGTTGCTCCAGGCCAAACACTGGGGTCGCGGGTTCGAATCCCACTCAAGGCATGTCTGTCTGAATTTATTCTGTGCTTGTGTTGTCCTGTGTGCAGGAAGAGGCTTTAGGATGGGCTGATCCCCCGTCCAAGAAATCCTACCGACTTTCTATATGATTATGAAACTATGAAACAGAGTCCACGGTTCATCGTGGACTGGAACGCCCATAGATTATTAACTACAGACATTATTAATTGTCTAATGAGATGGAAGTGAGTAGATAAGAACTTGACAGGATGTGGTGTCAACCCAGTACATTTTTCCAGCTGCATAGGTAGTATAGCGTGGAATAATGACGGATGGAACAGTGAATTTAAAAGGATGAGAAAGGAAGCAGTCTGTTGGCCTTACAGCTTACCCCATGAAGAGATCGAGAAACACAACGGAAAGCTTCAGTCAGGATGGCCGCTCTCATGGTCGAAATTCGAATCCCAGTCGACAGCAATGGCCGATCCAGAAGATATGATATTTGTGACTCAAGTGCATGAAGATTTACTAATTGGCTGGAAAACCGTAAAGCAGGCGCAAAAGCACGCCCATACAAGGGGAAACCTGACCACCTGGTAATCACATGTGTGGGGACAGAACAAAGGATATGATGCTCCCAGGTTGACCGCCCACACAGCCAGATTTCACGGAACATCCGTCTTCAAAGATTATATGGCAATAATGAAGAACTACAGGCATTCATGTTCCTATGCAGCGTTTGTCAGTACGGGTTCGCAGACCACAGTCAGCCCGGAAAGTAAAAAGATAAAGCTATCCCTGTAACAGGCCGTGGAGGCACATAGGATAGTGAGACGTCGAGGCTCCGCATTTTCTAGATAATCGGCTCACAGATGGCGGTGAGCTTTTAGCCTTATGTGCCGTCCGCCCTTTTGCCCCAAGAAGATTCCTGCTACCTTTTTCTGTCAGAGACTGACCCGACACCAAGGCAGTAGTGTAACTGGAAGGATTAGGTCAATTTAAAATTCTAATAACATTATCGGGAATCGAACCCGCAACTTTCCGGCCGTAGCATAGTGCCTCCACCAACTACGCTACCACTAGCCCAGTCCGAAAAGTAGTTCACGTTTAATGAGAGATGACACATATAAATGAAATGGAATTTAGGATAATCTTCTTGTTAAAGTGAAAACTGAGAACTTTGATCTACATGTGGCTTAAATTAAACATAAAAATATCATTATGCCGGAGATAGCACTGATACCAACAACAAGCACCATTAACATCGCCTAAAACAAAGTCGCAACATGCGTGAACCATCGGCACCAGACAATGACTTGTAACAGAAGTAGTAAGAAAACTAACAAAATAATTATCTCTATTGAATGAAGTACGGAGCCGGTATAGTGACTGGCTACGAGCTGGTAAAAATTTTCTGTCCTCAACATCGTCCAGACTGTCTCTGGGGGTCCACCAAACCTCCTATCCATTGGGTACCGGAGGCTCTTTCCCTGGAGGGGGGGGATAAAACGGCCGGTGCGTGAAGCTGACCACTCACTTCCAACTAGTGCCGAGGACAAGAAAAGTGGATCTATACAACCATTCCCAACATACGCCTTCATGGCATAGTGCTTAATTAGTTAAGAAGGGGGACAACTTTACTTTTGCTTTAATAAAGGAAGTACTGAAAGTGGCATCAAGTTCAAGCAAGCACACGTAGCTCTAACAGACCTCTCGTTCACTGAAGCGAACTACAGCTACCAAAACATATCTGCACTCAAATCAGAAATCAGTAATGAAACACCTGCTGGAAAATGGCGGAAGTTCTAGATGGAAATCTCATTGTACACAGAAATAATTTGACATGTTTCAGCACAATTATTATAGGTCAACATAAGCAAATGAGCAATATTTATTCTAAGACACTTAGTACATCCCAAGACAGTAAATCCCTTCCCCGGAAATGAATAATTAACTCCATGGAGCACACATTCTTTATAAGCTGACAGTCTGTTATCTAAGGACCTTGGATAACTCAGTCTGTATAGTGATTAAATTACTATCTGGACGACCGAGGAATCTAGGTCTGAATCCCAGTAATAACAGAGACTCGTTTTTTCTTTTCCTTAGTATCCAGAAAGACTCTGGAGCCCACACAATCTCCTGTACACTGAGCGCCGAAGAGTCTTTCCCCGGGGGTAAAGCCGATGCGGCCAAAACTGACGCTAATATCCAACTAATAGAGAAGATAAGAATGCGTGGAACCATTCCTCTACTCCCTCCTCTGTGTTAGTGGCCTGGTGTTTAATTATTTTATATTATTGCTAGTGGGTTGGGACTAAGTCCCTTGTACTGCGGCCACTTCTGGTCTATTGTACCAGCCTCAGATGATAGGTGAGGGTGATTGTGGAGCAACTGGTGGAATGAAGATTGGCAGGGGAAACCGGAGTACTCGGAGAAAACCTGCCCCAGCCCCACTTTGTCCACCACAAATCCCACTTGAACAGACCCGGGATCGAACCCAGGCCGCCGCGGTGGGAAGCCAGGAACTAACCGCTTGAGCTATGGCGCGGCCCTGGTGTCTGATTAAGTATGGGAATAACTTCACACGTTTAACTTAGTCGCTCATATGGGCCAGAAATTCTCAGCTTTCTATGGAGACCAGAATGCTCTTACTGTGTATGTAAGAACCTGCACAGTCTGCATAATTCATTCTTATTAGCTCGTAATAAATACAATACTTTATTCATTCAATAAAAATAAAAAACATTTTACTTTATAGGAAAGCTGATAATACTTTAACATTCATGAAGAGTTCTGTCTTGCGGAATATAATACCGTGTAGGCCAGTGAAAGTCAATCGACGCTTCAGAGGAACACATCGCTCAGTGCTACCTTCTTTATGTTGGATTTGTGCTGTAGTTACATACGCCTCCGAAAAATTGGTTAACTTTCAACGAACTACATAACCTTACATCCGAAAAATAGAACTTTCCACAGCCACCATTGAGAGACCCGCCAGTCAACTTTAACACCTTCACGTATTTCGCAAGACTCTGTCCCATAGTAAGGCCTCAGGAAGGCTGCAACGAGTAATCTATGTACAATCATGTTCACATCCACAGCACTGTTTCATTATTTCGTAAAACAACGTTAGGACATTGAAAGAAGAATTCTGATTCATAGAAATGTCAGTTCCTCCACAGACCTCCAGAGTTTCCAGCTTATTTTAACGGGGTAAACCGATCACAAGATTTCCATGTACCGGGAAACTACACCTCAAGGGTGTGCGCGGAAACTGGGTAGCGCTTACGAAAGAAGATAATTTCCTCTGGACGGAAATGTGATTACAAAAGAACGTAACTGGTGCCAGAGAACTCTGACCAGTAATTCACACTGTGACGTTTTAATTGGGTATCTGATGCCAAGCCCAGTCGCAGGCCTATATATTATAAGGAAGCCTCTACCAGTCCGTATCAATAGGGACAGTCACACCATGAAGCATAGTCTCGTTGTCAATTTGTTCTTGCCACTCGTGGCATCTGCGCTGCTTTTGGAAGTACGAGGTAAGTGCAAGAGCGATAAGCTTTAAATTCCTTCTTCCTCCCTTTATTGTGCTCTCTTTTTCTTCAGTTCTTACATTCCTCCATTTCCTATTGTCTTCCTTCTTATCCTTTTCTATATTTTTTCTTTGTTAACTCTTCTCTCATGTTACTACCCAAAATCATCTGTGTCATTATCTACTTTGTTTCTCCCTTTTTATATATTTCTTCTATATTTCTTGCTTTCTCTCTTATTTCTTGCTCTCTTGTTGTCTTCTTCTGCTTTTCTTTCTTATTTTTCTTGCACTCCTGCCTCTATCCGTGCCACCATTTCTCAGACCATCTTTCGATGTTTATCTTTATTAATCTTCCCTCTCGTTTCAATCTTTCTCATCATTTTCCTTCTCTATTGTTTCTTCCTTTCTTTTGCCTATATAACTTGTACTTTTCTCCAAGTATAATTAGAATGATCAAGTCAAGGAGGATGAGGTGGGCAAGTTATGTAGCACGAATGGGGGACACGAGGAATGCGTATAGGATATTGGTGGGAAAGCCAGAGGGAAAGAGACCACTGGGAAAACCAAGGCGTAGGTGGGTAGACAATATTAGAATGGATCTTAGAGAGATAGGATGGGATGGTATGGATTGGATAAATCTGGCTCAGGATAGGGACCAGTTGAGGGCTCTTGCGAACACGGTGGTGAACCTTCGGGTTCAATAAAATGCTGGAAAATTCTTGAGTAGCTGCAGAATTGGCGGATCCTCAAGAAGAGCTCAGCTCCATGAGTAAGTAAGTAAGTATAGAGACGGAATGTGCTCACTATTACAGGGTCCAGCAACAGAGGAACGACGGGTGTTGAAACGGAGTCCTTGAAGAATTCCAAGCTCAATTTCGGCTACCAGAGTAACGGCATGTATCCAGGAGGCTTTGTGCACTCAGCAAGTGGCTACTATCCAGGGGGTGGCGTATATTATCATGTGGGTGCGGGGGGCGGTTACCCTGCAGCAACCGGTAAGCTCCGCAACGCGTTATTTTTCGAAATGTTACCATAAGTTAACAATCTCACGCTTTCTGGTGAAAACTTGTTAGATAATATTTTGATGTTTGTTTGAATATATTCTGTGACAAATCTTAATATAAAATAAAGTCAAAGGAAAATATTTTAAAGAATTGTACGTTTAAAAGCAATGTCAAAATTTCCCCCTGCTACCATATTTTTGAATTGAGACGTCTAAATATTTGATTTTTTTTTAAATTCATGGCATTACACACAAAATTTTGACCTGGTATGGATTCTCGTTATGTGTGTGTCACACGTGACTTACACTGCAAACGTTATTGGAAAATGACTATATTTGAGACATTTTAGTCTAAGAAGATTAAATAAATTCTTGGCATCCGAATGAGTCAGAGTGTAATTACATACAAGGAAATTAAGACAGCCATGGAATTTACACTATTGGACCAAGTCGCCGTAAATTTACGTACATTAAGGAGGAAACTGTCCGTTCAAATCAATGTCGTTTTAAATATACTAATACGATTGGATACGTGTCATAGGTATAACTAATTGGAGAGGAAGAGTCTGGAAATATATCTGACAAAGATAAAGCTATTTTATGGTCAAGGAATAATACCCTAGTACTGCTCATATAAAGAAGTTCATAATGGCGAAAAGGGAAAGGTTAAAACTTACCGAACTGTAGACTAGGCGGCGAAAATAAATGAAACGTAATGTTTCCCTGTGAAAACGTACATCATATTATACTATATATTCTTTTTTATTCAGTGGGATATCAAGAATTGAGAGAAACGCGATTCTTCTATATTAGTCTTTCCCAAATTCCTGGAAGATTAGCGGATATACGAGTATATAAACTCCTAACAATATTAAGTTTACCAATTCAGCCGTCAACGTAACAAATATTTATTAATTTAAACTACGCTACATGTTTCGACCCTCAATGGTTCATCTTCAGGTGCTCTGAGTTACACGACTGATTATTGAACTATAACGCGTCTTCGTGTTTGAATATTTCTTATCATTGTACAAGTGTTAAATACTATATTCCCAGTTTACATACATAAGCCGTTAAGTGGTTATATTCTATGTGTTATTCTTATTGTATATATGAAATTAATTGGCGTTAGACATGAGTTCTTATGTGAAATTAACATCTTATTAAACTTAATTAAAATTGGTTTAAAATCTATATAAAAATACAAACGTGTCGTGAGCTGTATTCGGCTTCGTGTCATTGTTCTGTAGACCCCGCTTGTCTTCGTGTTAGCTTTTTCCAAATTCTTCTATTATTTGTTGCTTTAATTCGTTACGTTGCTCTTTATATGTTCTGCTTTCTTGAGGGCCAAATGACGTTATTTCTCCTTCGGTATGACTTCATGCCAATAGTTAATGCTCTGTTCTTCTATTCAGCCTAGTTTACGTGTTTTTTTGTTTTTTTTTGCTGCGTAGTCTCTATTACTGCAGGTTGATTGGCATGCAGTCATATTCACTGTTGTCTGCATCTTGAACTGGTCTCTAAACTCTAGTCTTCTCTAATTCGAATCCTGGATTCTGTATGTCGGCCTGGGCTAGCTTTTATGCGAACCGGATATAGGACACCGAGTAGAACACTTGATTCTTCTGTTGCCATGAAAAAAAAGTAAAAAAAAAAAAAATAAAGCTATCCCTGTAACAGGTCGTGAAGGCCCATAGGGTTGTTAGACGTTGAGGCTCCCACATTATCTAGACAATCGGCTGAAAGATGGCAGTAAGGTTGTCAGTTTTACGCGCCGGCCGCGCTTTACTTCTCAGGAAAATAATTTAATTAATTCCTGGTACTCATTTCTGTTAGAGGCTGGGTCGACCCCAGGGCCATAGTGCGGCTGAAAGGATTAGGTCAATTGAAAAAAAAAATTGCAATGACCTCATCGGGAAAACCTTCGCTAATTTGTTGCTGCTGCTTTAAGGCGTCATGTCACATTTTTAAAAGTTTATCCAGGTGTATAATATTCATCTCAGACTCCAAGAGGGCAATGTAGACGGACAATTTACATGTCGTGTATTATACACTGAAACATTAAAAATTTATTTTAGAGTTGCCTTCTGATGAGGCCGTGTCATAGCTTAGGTGATTCGTCGCCGGTTTCCCACTGCGACGACCCGGGTTCGATGCCAGGTCATGTCAGATTTGTGATGGACAAAGTGGCATGGGAGCAGGTTTTTTCCGAGTACTTCGGTTTTGCATGCCAATTCTCGTTTCACCAACTTCTCCACAGTCATCATAATCTGCCATCCGGGGCAGGTACAGTAGGCCAAATATTGGCCGACGTACCAAGGGGACTCAGCCAAACCTCACCTCAAGAAAGTTAAAAAGAGGTACCCTCTGATCAACTCGTGCTTTCATTTTCTCATAGGCGGTTACCCTGTGCATCCAGAGACAGGAGTTAACCCTCTTGGACCTGAAAATGAAGTTCCTGCCTCCGGCGAAAATGGAGAAAAAATTCCCGGTGGAGTTGCAGTGGACGACGAGGTGGAGGTATTTGACGTGCCTCAGTCGAAACAAGGAGGTTACCCTAGCAGAGGATATCCGAATGGAGGTTATCCCGGTAGAGGATACCCCAGTGGAGGGTATCCTAGTGTTTACCCCAATGCTGGTCATCCCGGATATTACCCCGTCGTCTATGTAGGGTGAACAGCAACATACAGTGAAGAAGACATTCAGGAGCACATAAAAACTTCTGTTCCAAGCAGACAAGCTAGTATAAGCTTGTAAGATAGCAGAAAATTAAAATGTTATTTGTCTGGAGCTGCCCTGGGTTTAACCTCGGTGAGCTTCAATATAGGCTGTATTATTTAATTTAATTTATCGCTTAATTTAAACGTGTCTTGTCTGAATTTGTCTAATATAACTAGTTTTTTTTATCCTAGAGAATATAGACTGATGCTGATCTCAGAAACATCATGTTTACTGTTACTTTATTATAAGGAATTGTGTATAACTTTACGTTTCACGCCCGCAAGTGCACAACGGAATATGAATAGAATATAGTATAATAGTAATATACGCATACATTAAATTTATTACTTTTGTTTATTTTCCTTTTCACAAAATGTTTCGATCGCAGTTCAACATAAGGTGAATTAAACAAATTTAGCTAGAATATATATAGACTGGATTAAAATGTGTTGTATAAAAATGTAGACGTTGGTAAGATATAATTAAGTTTGGCGGGATCCGCTTCAATTTTCTTAGAGGGCGTCGGGGCAAAATAAAGTCTTAAGGGCGTGATACATATTTCGATTGACGTTCTGCAATTTCGGTTAGTGACTGCGTTGTTAAACAACCCATAAATAGAAAGTTAAAGGTGCAATCGTATTTTAATCAAAACCCTTATCTATGCTACAGAATTATATACCATCGAATTGGAAGCAAACGAGAAAATGTTGGACGGGAAATAGTGAAAGGTGGCACTTGAAAGTGAATTTTCTTATAACACTGGTCTTATGAAAAAATATTAATACAAAATCCTACTTCAATTTGAAGTTATTTCCCATTAATAATCAATAAAAATTCAATTAAAATCACATATGAAATAAGTAGTAGGTTCTGTGCAGATTTACGAAATACTTGATCACTAATGTCATGTCATTTGGTTTCAGTCAAAGATCGGATAGGTCAGTAATTAATTTAGTCATTTAATACTGAAGCTCTCTTTACCTTAAGGCCTGCACACTTATTAGTTGTTGATATCTCCTGCATGTGGGCAAAATGTACACTTTGTGAACTTACCTGTATAAGGAGCATGATGTCTTGGGCTTGATATGTTAGAGCAAGAAGCGACTCGTTCCGTGCTGCCTGCGACGTGACCAAGTTCATGATCCACTGGTTTAGTTTGCCGAGACATTTTTTAGTCCACCGATTATAATATCCGCTATACGATGTAGTTCCACACTTTGTTATATTAAAAATATACTATTTCATGCACATAAAACACAATTACCAGGCAAATATAACCATTTAGAAACAGCCCTGCACTCACTATGCTCTTCCACTCAATCCATCTCGCGCGCATTTCCGACTCTCGCCGTTAGCGAGACCAGCGAGACCTACCCCCGACGAGCATCACGTGTATTACAAGCGCTGCTTCCGTGTAGCGCGAAGTTCGAAATTTAAAGTGCTCATATACATCCATGTAAATGGTGATACGGTACATCGCTACACAATTCATGAGACTTACGAATATTTCTGTTTCAAAAACACGCAAGAATGAAAATGGCTTTTCATAACTGGTCGGACAATCCAGTTCAGCAGAAGAGCCCGGGGAATGGTCAACATATTAAAAGTACTTTTTTTTACAATATACGCTCGGAAAATATAGTTACGTCTTGAGAGACAGGAAATGACTTCCTCAAAATGAAGCGCTCTGAAGCTAAGTAGAACGGGTCTGCCCCCGTTTCCCAGCTCTGGACACATGTACACACATGATTCGGTGTCAGCTACTAGCGCTACTAGGTGTCTTGATATCCTGTCCATCACGTGATACTGGTACCAGTACATGCATCACAACGATCACAACCATCAGGCACAGAAGCTCTTCTTTTGAGTCAAGCCCACGCTTTGCAATCAACATCGTTATACTGCGCCATGTACACCGGCAGTCGTACCACTGCGTACGGTATCCTCTACCCTTTCTAGAGTCTCTTTACAGTTTTGTAAAGACGTTTTTAACTCTCTGTAATAAAGGTATTACAAGGCTCTAATGATATAAATTCTATTAAAATTTAAAACTTGGATCGTGTCTAATGTTATGCACTTGGCTCCAATGAGAATGTTATGAAAAAATGAAATCTAATTTTGCAAACTGGATAACATGAAATTGATGGATATTAGGACGTTGCTCTGTTTTAATATCTGATTTCTAATTTAAATTCGTGATCAGTGAGTTAGTTGCATTTATTAACTTCATTTAGTAAAGAAACTTTATTGTAAAAATATCTTTGATTCTGGAAAAGATTCTTAAGCTGTTATTAGACCCGTCAACTAGGGCCTCCCTTGAGAGAGGGACTTGTCATCTACTCTGAAGTGTCTGAAAGGAAAACGAGTTTGTTATAAAATGACTTAAGAACATATGTGTCAACAGCATAAATGTTTTGAAATTCTGTTTAATAAAATGCAGTGTTTGTTAACTTATTTAGAATACACGTCCCAGAATAATCCAAGATACACTACTGTCGCGAATTATCAACAAAAATTTGTCTTACGTCCAATTATTTTCTAAGCTACCTCCACGGGTAAGGTTATTTCTAGAGCAGTTAACAGCTATTCATCTGGTCTCTGGATACCCTGTTTCTTTCTGAGTCCTTACATTAATGATAGCGCTCACAAAATCCCACACTGGACACTATCCAAAGGCAGTTCAATCCACCTCGTATCTTCAACATACACCATACGACAGTTAATTTTGGGGTTATCTTTTTATCACAGCCAAGAGATCCCTTGGGTTGTGATTCTCTTAGTCAGCATTATGTATGCATTCCTTGTTTCTCGTGTGGCTACATGTCCCACCCACTTTTTCCTTTTATTATAGTAGTCTTTTTTAGATGAACATTATAAAATGTGAGTTCATCGTTCACCATTCCTTCCAAATTCTTTCGAGGAGCCAATATTCTCCACAGCACTGTCACTGGCTCCAGGGTTTGTAGGGATGTAGGATAGACGTATAAGCATAGCTTCATAGCAGTGAAGGGAGTTGAATTAAAATAGTCTGTTACAGATCTCGTGCTTTCACGAAGTCCATGGCATTTTGCATTGTGATCTTTAACGCGAGTCTTCATGACTTGATATTGCCAGTGGGGAAACAGCCGAATTTCGCGATACCGCGTAGCGGATCGCCCGTGTTGGAACTCAAGCAACCCACATCACTTCTTCGAATCGCTTTCTGCACATCAAGGAGCAGTGCAGATGGTCGTGAGAATTCTGACAAATAAATTGCTTACTGGAATAGTTAATAAGAAAGGCAGAGAATTTTACGACTTCTGGCAATTCCGTAACGTGATCTGAAGCGATAAAATACTTGAGATCGGAAATACTACTTTGTAGACATTTTTTCGACGATTAATTAACAGAAAGTTCGGTTCTCAGAAGGACAGAATCAAAATACCGTCCGTATGTTTTCAATCATTACGCACAAGCAGGTACTAGAAATTCTTCATAGTGTTTAAAGTTTCTTTAAATTTTAGAAGTGAAAAAACATCAGGTTGAGAATTCGGAGACAGATTAGTCCACTTCCCTTTAATAATGTCAATCATTCCACAGTACAGCCGGCGATAAAAAGCTTTTCCATCATTATTATGAATTCAAAATTCGTTGTTAACCAAATGGTTTCTAAGATCAGGCGCTCCTCTGGTCAAAAATTCCGAACAGTTCTTTGGCTTGCGGTAGTACTCATTGAAATATTTTCGCATACAAATTGAGGTAAAAATCATTTAGAATATCATGTGGCATATAGGCCCGTTGCTAAGCGGTGACTTGGCAAACAGCGGCCGTTGCTAGGCAGCCGATTCTTAATAATGCAACAGTTGGAATACAACAATGGAAACTGGGTGTTTCTACATGGTTCGTGACGAGATGTTATAAGCAAGGGACAAAGTTAGTTGACAGAGAGTTGTATACGGGAGGCTGTGAAGAGAGGACCTCAGGGCGTAGAGCTGAAGAATCTCCACTGTCAGAAGCAGTTGCCAGGAAACGGCTAATGAAGATATAGCAGGCTGAAAAAGACTTAGTGGGTGCTGTGGTGATTTGGAAATCGTGGAGATTAACATTGGCGCTGTAATTGCTTGTAGTTCCAAGTCGTGTGTAGTAGTCAATAAATGAATTCACCAACTGAAGCCCTATCTATAGTCACATATACTATGTAACAACATTCTAGAGCAGATATATGTGTTTTGCTGTCCCATTCTTACTTGCTTTCGTTGTTTGCATGTTCTGCAAGCACTAAGCAGCTGGTGTGTTAACACTTTACGTTTGGCTAACACTGGCACCTTGAGGTAACTAGGAATGACATGCATATCCTCCTCTTCTCACGCCCATACTATATTGGGGTCTCTTCTGATTGTGCCCAGCAACGGTCATCGTAAGCAGCAGGGAAATGGCTAACAAGCCTGTGACTGGGTGGATGAAGGTGGAAGATGTATTATCCAATCACTTCTCCTGCCAGTATGTGGAGTACAAATGAATCATGAAAGTAATATTTTTATTTCATTTTTGAAAGTGTTCGCCAGGCTAACACTGTTAACATGAATGCTCTGCCACTGATAAAATTATATTCAATTGTTGTGTGGTTGTCTGAAAAATCAAGAGTATATGCATATATATATATGCTCTTATACAAGCTACAATATAATATTGTATTTCTAAATGCTATCTACAATATTCTACATACATGTCACAAATGCAGTTACTTATATTCTATATTTTGTTAGCATATATATATATACACACATATATGCTATGTTAAAAAATATTATATATTATTATCACATTCATGTATTATTCATTGCTGCAAACTGACCTGCATTTTATGTGGGTACTTATAAAATAGAGACCTAAGAAATAAAATCCACTGCAGATAATGAACATAGTTCGTGTGATGCTGTGACACTGAAATAAATATGGCATTCAAACACAACTGAGACAAAACAAATCAACAAAATCTCACTTCATGTTCTATACTTTGTACTTTAAAATGTTACCATAGAGAGAGAGAGAGAGAGATTACAAGACATTGTTATATTGTGGTCTACCTAAAATTAAGTAGAAAAAATTGCTACTCTCTCAGCATTGTTGCAAGCTCAAGCAGAACTGTAATTCTGAAGCAACAGCTATTCTGTGTAAACTCACATTTCACTGAACAATTAATGCAGAAAATTTGACACTGTTCACAATCTTTTGGAGCATACTAAATTTCAGTGCATTGAAAACTATGTAATCAGTTCTCATATGTTGAATTCTATACCATGTCACAAGG